AAAAATAAAAGAAGAAAGAAAGAAAGAAAAAGAAAGAAAGAGAGAGAGAGAAAGGAATAAAAGAAGAAAGAAAGAGAGATAAATAAAAGAAGAAAGAAAGAAAGAAAAAGAAAGAAAGAGAGAGAGAGAAAGGAATAAAAGAAGAAAGAAAGAGAGAAAAATAAAAGAAGAAAGAGAAAGAAAGAAAGAAAGAAAGGAATAAAAGTAGAAAGAAAGAGAGATAAATAAAAGAAGAAAGAAAGAAAGAAAAAGAAAGAAAGAGAGAGAGAGAGAAAGGAATAAAAGAAGAAAGAAAGAGAGAAAAATAAAAGAAGAAAGAAAGAAAGAAAAAGAAAGAAAGAGAGAGAGAGAGAGAGAGAAAAGAGCAACCTGTTCTGCTGGGAGTGAGGGTGGGGCTGACTAGTGGTTGACAATCCCATGATTCAATTCTGGCCTTTGCAAAATATGGAAAGAACACCAGCAATAGCAAACCAACAAAAACATTAATACTGCTTTTAGATGAAGCCATCCTCTTAGTCCTTAAGGAGTTATGTCGAAATACCCTGAGTGTATAGATTGACTAGACTTTTGGGCTTCGATGCCAGTGAAATCTGCAAAGCTGTACTTGCTGCATAGTCCATAACTGCCTTGTTTATAGACCCATCTGGAGCCACTCACGGCATGCTTCGCCCACCCACAGATCCCTAGCTATTATTATAAGTGCCTCCCGCACTTCTCCTGCCCGCAAGGCAGTTGCCTGGAGCTGTCCTTGAAGTTATTTTTCTCTCATCAGAACATCACTGCACATGTGTTGGCTTGTTCACTCAGGAGAAAATCCTGGGGGCCAGCAATGTTAGGGAATTGGGTCAATCTAGCCAAGATAGCTAGCTGCTTCCTTTATAGGTCCTGTAGTAGCTGCCCACTGCAAGAGGTTTACTGTCCCCAGATAACTCCAATCTGATTTTGAAACACCTTTCCTCTGAAACTGCTTGCCAAGGAATCCACTCCAGGAGCTGGCAAAGCATCTTATCCCACCTTCTGAAGCAGCGAAGACCAATATGTCCCTTTGTTTTCACACCTAAAGAGGGGGAGGAACCATATGTTGCGGAAATTATGTCAACACAAACTCCCTTCCTTTTTTTGCTATCGGAGGACCTGCCCAGCACTTCCCAACATTAGGTTCTTCAGCTCCTTTTCCTGCTCTTTACAGTATTCCTCTAGCACACCCAGGGGTGGGTTCCTGCCAGTTCTAACCTCTTCTATAGAAGAGGTTCCACCAGTGGACCCGGAAAGCAGGCCACACCTACAGAAGAGGTTCCAACATTTTTTGAAACCCACCACTGGTCCTTGGATATAATTATTCTACACTATCATGCTCATATTTATCAAACTCAGTGCCTCTATGAAAGGTAAGGATGACGACTGCGTTTGTGGTGCAATTAGAACATTGCGTGTGTTGAAGTTGTTTTAACGCAAACCAAAGATGCCTTTTAAAAAACAAGTTTACATCCTATTCTTATGCATGCCAGTGCTGTGTGTGAGGTAATTTAAGGTGGTCCCGACAAGTGTCGTCGGCATCTTCATATCCGGTCACATGGGCGGCAAGCCACTCCCATTCGGTCGCATGGGTGGCAAGCCACTCCCATTTGGTCACATGGGCGGCAAACCACTCCCACAAAGGAGGCCACACCCACAAAGTAGGTTCGAACAATTTTTGAAACCCACCACTGATGTAGACTACACATTTTAGTTAGAAAGCACTGTTAATTCATTGTGAATTTGATAGCATACAATAAATGTAAAAGGTTCTGCCCCCAAGGGATTCACAGTCCTGATAACTAGTATCAAAGGTATAGAGGTTGGTCAGAGCCCTTCCACTTAAAGTTTATAATTACTAAAATTATAACTAAAATACCTTTCTGAAAACCAGCAACTTGATTCCAGAACAATAAAGCAATATAGTCTGTGTCTAAAAGGCTGCTAAAATGGAAGTAGCTTTATATTGCGCGCTCAAGAGAACTCCATTCGGGCTATGCAAAAGCACAGAGTCATCAAAGCAACCTTTCAGTTTGCCCCTCAAGACAGCAAGGCTCGGCAAGGATTCTGCTCTGAAGCATCCATCCCTCCCACAAATGGAAAGGGATGCAGGAATGGCTGGACCATTCTGCTGATTCTACAGGGGCGAGAGTTTTCCTTCTGAATAGTAGGAGGTGGGAATTAAAATGCACAGCTTGTGCCCTGAAAACAGTTGGTCTCCTGCTGCCGCCGAGCTTTTTAGCCACCTCTGCATCTTCCTGTTCCTTAGATACCAAGTTGCCAACGCTAAACCAATCAAGAGCCCCCTTTCTCCTCCCCTCCGCTTGCCAGCTATTCTTTCTCTGGTTTTGCCTCCTCTCTTACTCTCTCTCTCTCTCTCTAGCTCAGCTTTGCTTTCGGCCATGAAGCTCCAGTGGTTCTGGCATTTCCTTCCCTGCTGCTTCCTGCTTCCAGTGCTGATGCCGGTGGGTAAGTGACCAGCAGTCCACCCTTCTCCCCCACCCCCCTCCCTGAGATGCTCTCCACTGCCCCAAACTGTGCGGAAGGCTTCTCACTGACGGATGACAAAAGCGAAGGGAAAAGCTTTGTATTTCCCTGTCACAAATGGGATCGGATGCAGCTGAGGGGGCTTGCCTAAGATGCGTGAGGACCCCTCCCCAAAAAAGAAGGTTTCCATTGATCTCTCTCTATGACTCTCCCCATCCCTCCCCTCCCCTCCCCTGGGCTATATAGAAATCGCTGCTTAGACCTTCGCTGCTTTCTGCACATGCTGTTTTTTTCCATTAAAATCTCTTACTCCTAGTTCTCCATTCTGCACTCAGATTTCATTCACTTAGGGTTAAGAAGGGGAATCGTTCTTTGGATGATGATGATGATGATTTCTGTTTCAGCCACGAGGAAACAGTGTGTGTTTTATTAAAAGGAGAACAGATAGTTTGAGTTTTGCATTGGGCTGGGATATCTTTCACTTTGAATTCTTTTCTCTCTCTCTCTCTCTCTCTCTCTCTCTCTCTCTCTCTCTCTCTCTCTCTCCCTCTCTCT